TACCTGAACACAGCCGAGCAGCTCGTGGGTCGCGATGTGATAGCAGGACTTCAGTTCGCCTTGGATTTCGTTCAGCTGGGTAGCCAACTGCTGCAGGGACTCGCGAAAACTGACCAGAGCTGCGGGCATGCATTCACTCTCAAGGGTCTGGGTGACTTTTTGCTTTGTGGCTATAGTCTCGTCCAGGGCACGCTGTTTGATCCGGGCTCGATCAGTCTCAAGATCCAAACTGTAAGTCTCTTCCAGTTGGGTCAGCAGTATTTGGCACTCGGACTTTCGTTCATCCGTTGGCTGTTTCTAAAAACAGAAAAAAAAGGTTTAACGTGTAAGGCGTGCAGATTAAAAAGTACTTTCAAATGGAGTTTGTTTGCAGGTCGCCAAATGACCTGACTGCCCACACAGCCTCAACCCAAGTCAGCAGTAAGCTCCACGCTTCGTTCGCATAAGGAGGTCGAGACCGAAGGCTTTGAGCGTACTTAGGGAATAAATGATTCTGAGCTGCGCTTTTAGCATAGCCGGCATTTAGTCCTTAACGGAATATAAATGGCAAGTATAGGAATCGAAGGATTGAAAGCTGTCAAATTCCTAACAAAGAAGTTTAGCCCAGTAGCCCATTCGGTGGATCCTAGATGATTACTTATGAAATCCTGCCTGGCAGCCAGCTTACTGCGTCCGTATAGGTGGATTCCATACGCGCAGCAAAGCTGGGTATGCAACTCAACCCAAGTGTGATTAAATTCACGGCCCACGGTGAGCCTCGTAGCTCAATGCTAGAGCGTTGGCTATGCAAAACCTTCCCTGCTGTGTGGCCGCGAATTTTTTACAATGGGGTCAATAGGACAGAAGAATATTGCAAACGACCTTAATCAGTCCGAACTGTCAGGATTGTCCATCTCAATCATATTCGAATTCATCGTACCAGGTTAGGACATACGCACCACTTACTTATCTAAAAAACATAGCCCTTTCTCTGCGGATACTGAGAACAGCCCGCGACAGTTTTCCGCGTGAAAGAAACGAAGAACTAGTCGTGATGGGACTACAAAACGCTTTAGGCCGAGGCACGCTGAATCCCTCAAAGCTCGCACCTGCTGCAATGGCACCAAAAGGCATGTAAAATCAATATCTTCATTTTGGTCACATCAAAGTTATCATACATCTGGCGACTTTGCCTAGAGTTAGGTGCACTTATATGAGGACCACCCGTTGGCATTATAGATATTAATTTGTCGGAGATGTTGACTTCGTAGTATGACTCTCGTCCTTGCTTTACAGCATGCAAAAAGAGAACATATGATTTTTTGCTGGCAGAGTTATCAATGCTTAGTCTACGCCTGTAATTTTACTGATGATTGTGCTAATCATAAGGGTAGAAACAAATAGGAGAAAACAGACGCCCAACCTGGTCCTTACCTCGTAGAGCTCAAGGGCCGTTCCAGCAGTCTCTAACAGTTTTGAGAACCCTTCAAGCTGCTCAAATTGCAAAGCCAACTTTTCTCTCGAATCGTTCCACATTGTCTGCAATAAAAACGAACCAAGTATGAACGACTAACAGAAAAAAATATAAATGATTCAGGACAAAGTATATCTATACACTTTAATCAGACCAAAATGATCCTAGCGGATGCTCGAAGTCATAAAATACATACTATTTGCAATGAACGATTTTTGCGTATTTTACTGATGGGCGCTTAGATATGTCAATTGTAAGAAAAGATAACTGAGGAAAGCTCTATAAACATTTCGACAAATATACGAAAAAAACACGTACAGATTGTCTAGGGATTATCGAAAAGGCAAATTCTCAAAACACATGGTCTCTGTCGGACGAGAAAGTGCCGCGTTCAGCACATGCTATTCCACTTTTCTGTAAACGTGTCTAACTACCTTCGATCGTTTAACTGTCAGCAATGATACCCATGTAAGCATTCAGGAAGTCAGACATAAAATCATATGAAAATGAGTACACAAAATTGTATAGTGCCATAAAACAATAGTAGTATTTAGATTTAGTAAGAAACACAATCTGGTGCCCACTGATTCTAGGGTGGTCATATACCCCTTGTTCTAGCATATGGTCCTTCGAAAACGGTGATTATAGGGCTTTATGGGTGGGGAATTGGGATACACAGTAGAATATACTTTAATATCTGCTATGTAAATTTTTAGTTTATTGTATTTAGAAGTGTTTTTGATTTATATCTGTAGATTTTCCCAATCTGTATTATTATTTAATGAATTGCGGAAAAATCCAATTATCAAATTGCAGGTTTCTTTAAATTCCCGAAAAATAGCAATGGTGGTAAGGAGGTCGTCTACTTCAACTTACCTGAGGTCCATCCTACCGTTCTGAAGTTATATTTCTATAGTCCGCGGCGGGAAGCGCCGCGCATACCTTCAATTTACATGCGGAAACACTGAATCCCAGCGGCCGCGGGATTCAACTTTAACTTCTCTGCCTATCCTATTTCCTCACCCCCCAAAACCCTATAACCACCGTTTCCGTGGGAGAAAAAGCGAGGACTAGGGGTATATGAGGGGAGCTACATAAGCTACCTTTGTCAAATAAGATGATAAGTATAAAACCAGGGAACTAGGTATTTCCCCTGGACTTTTACGGAAGGCCAGGCATTCTACAAGGGTAATTACACCCACGTCAGCCTGTAACTTTTATGAGGCTTTATCTCTGCGACCACAGCTGTCAATCAGATCTCTACCGGAGCCGTTAAACTGAGCCTCCTTATCGCTAGTAATATTGTCTACGTAAAACTTCTTTGAAAGCAAACCTGCAGTTCCATGACGGTCTTAGTTTCCTCGGGATTCATAGAGGCCGTTCGATTCAGAAGGTCATTCAGGCGAGATTGCAGGTATTCGGCCTGCTGTTTAAAATACTAGAGGTAGAGGAAGAACACGTTAGGGGGTTGGTTTTTTGCGTGAAAGCATAAAAAGCAAACGGTTATCAGTGTGAGCGAGGCAGAAAGCAGTTAACAGCAAGGCACACTGAAGAGGCGAGACTAAAAATGTGATGGTTAGTGGTTCCTGGATCG